ATAGATGGCTTCAAACTGAAAAAGAATGGTCATTAAATTCAAGCAGAGCTTTAAATCCATGTTTGATATGGAATTAAAATATAATATTAAGATTGATTATACACATTTTACATATTTTCTGTTCTATACCTCATATAGCCATACTTTAGCAATACTATCTATTAACATACATACAAGAAATGTATTGATAATGCAAAGTAAAAATATATATTTAACTTACATCTTCTATGTCTTTGTCCAGAGCAACAATTCTCAGAGGAGTGGTTAAGTTCACACTGTCAGAAATGGTTGCTCCCACTGGGGCAGATTCCAAGATATAGCCTTGATAACTGGACATGGTGAAATAAGGACTCTGGTTATTTTCATCCAATATTTCAATATGTAGACTGGCAAAGGCAGGAAGGGGGTGGCCATTGTCCTGCTCCGCCTAAAAATAAAAATTCAAATTTTATGTTATGGCATGCTTTTAGAATGAAACGCTTTGTGCTGCATATAAGAATTGTGTTTTAGGAAAAAAAATGAATGGTCTATTAAACTAGTATCATTACAGAAGAAATAATTTAAAGAACCATTAGAAAACATAAATGAAGAAGCGGGAGTCTGGAAGAGCTTAGTTTCTTGATCTATAATCTTCAACCGAGGTTATGTGAGAAAAAAAGCAAAGCGTTATTACAGTTGTTGCTATATATAATGAGAAATAACTATTTAAATTAGTTGAAAAAATAAATTAATGAATAAACGTGACTGGATTTTTGATAAAATATTTAAATGAAAGACAAAAACAATTAAAACTCAAATAAAATACAATTATTTTTTGTTTTTCTTTCCCATGATTTCAAAATTATGTATTAATTATTAAGTATCTGAGTACTACTATAGCCTGGATTATAGTTCTAAAATTCATATGTTGAAACCCCAACCCCCAAATTTAGAATACTAAGAAAGAAAGTTGATGAGTGTAGCTGGCTGAAAATTGGATGCATACGCTTTGGAGCGAGTTCCTGTGATGACGACCTTAGGCTGACTCTAAGCACTCATTTTTCTAAAATTAATTTTATTAAGAAACAAATAGCAATGACACAATTCAAAACAGGTTAGTAGGACAGTTATAATAGTTAATATATTGCATATTGGAGTCTTCATAGTAGTTATTCATAGCACAAGATGAAGACATGATATCCTGTCCAAACACTGAATTGACACAACTACAATATTTAAATGGCAACAGAATACCCATCTCTGACAAAACTAAACAAAACAGGGGGATTTAAATGAAGGACCATTTTGTAGTGATATATAGATATATATCTGTATGTACAGAATAGGATAGATATACAGTTACTTTCTCTTAATTCAATGAGAAGAAAGATCTGTACTAAGCATTCATTTCACACAAAAGATACCATTCTTTTTCATTTAGAGCAATGGCTTTTTCATTCTGGACTTGAAAGATGAAAATAGAAT